GAGAGAGAGAGACACACAAACTCCAAATATACAGCAGGCGTCAGGGTCGGGATCGAACCCACAACCTCCTGTAGACCAGGTGAGGTAGTTAACATCTCATCAAGGGGAGAGAGAGACACACGCAAACTTCAAATATACAGCAGGCGTCAGGGTCGGGATCGAACCCACGACCTCCTGTACACCAGGCGAGGTAGTTAACATCTCCTAGCCACCGTGATGATGATGAGAGAGCGACACAAACTCCAAATATACAGCAGCAGGCGTCAGGGTCGGGATTGAACCCACGACCTCCTGCATACCAGGCGAGGTAGTTAACATCTCATCAAGGGGAGAGAGAGAGACACGCAAACTTCAAATTTACAGCAGGTGTCAGGGTCGGGATTGAACCCACGACCTCCTGTAGACCAGGCGAGGTAGGTAACATCTCCTAGCTACCGTGATGATGATGATGAGAGAGAGACACACAAACTCCAAATATACAGCAGGTGTCAGGGTCGGGATTGAACCCACAACCTCCTGTACACCAGGCGAGGTAGTTAACATCTCCTAGCCACCGTGGTGATGATGATGAGAGAGAGACACACAAACTCCCAATATACAGCAGCAGCAGGCGTCAGGGTCGGGATTGAACCCACGACCTCCTGTAGACCGGGCGAGGTAAACTCATCACCAATACACCAGCTCACGTGGTGCCTCTGCGCCACACTGCCCACTGCTGGCGTGGCACTCACCAATACGCAAGCACAAGACGGCCCTTATAGCCACCATAAAAGCCTTGCCATGAAGTTTATCCCAGAAAAAGCCTTCTGGTAAACAATCAAGGCGCGGGGTGATGTCAAATCGCAGAATGCAGCGCACTGCATGAGGTCACTTTTTTGACACCACGAGTGTTGTGCAAGTTCGATGGCTGAGTGTCGCTATTGAGGGCATTAGTCATCAATTGTACCTGTGGGCAATAACAGCTGTCTGTCACATACAGCTGTCACATACAGCTGCCTGCCACATACAGCTGTATTTGACAGACAGCTGTATGTGACATACAGCTGTCTGTCACGTACAGCTGTCATATACAGCTGTCTGTCACATACAGCTGTCATATACAGCTGTCTGTCACATACAGCTGTTATATACAGCTGTCTGTCACATACAGCTGTCATATACAGCTGTCTGTCACATACAGCTGTTATATACAGCTGTCTGTCACGTACAGCTGTCGTATACAGCTGTCTGTCACGTACAGCTGTCATATACAGCTGTCTGTCACATACAGCTGTCATATACAGCTGTCTGTCACATACAGCTGTTATATACAGCTGTCTGTCACATACAGCTGTCATATACAGCTGTCTGTCACATACAGCTGTTATATACAGCTGTCTGTCACGTACAGCTGTCGTATACAGCTGTCTGTCACGTACAGCTGTCACATACAGCTGTCTGTCACATACAGCTGTCACATACAGCTGCCTGTCACATACAGCTGTCACATACAGCTGTCTGTCACATACAGCTGTCATATACAGCTGTCTGTCACATACAGCTGTCACATACAGCTGTCTGTCACATACAGCTGTCACATACAGCTGTCTGTCACATACAGCTGTTATATACAGCTGTCTGTCACATACAGCTGTCATATACAGCTGTCTGTCACATACAGCTGTCATATACAGCTGTCTGTCACGTACAGCTGTCATATACAGCTGTCTGTCACGTACAGCTGTCATATACAGCTGTCTGTCACATACAGCTGTCATATACAGCTGTCTGTCACACACAGCTGTCATATACAGCTGTCTGTCACATACAGCTGTCATATACAGCTGTCACATACAGCTGTCTGTCACATACAGCTGTCACATACAGCTGTCTGTCACATACAGCTGTTATATACAGCTGTCTGTCACATACAGCTGTCATATACAGCTGTCTGTCACATACAGCTGTCATATACAGCTGTCTGTCACATACAGCTGTATATGCAGCTGTCTGTCACGTACAGCTGTCATATACAGCTGTCTGTCACGTACAGCTGTCATATACAGCTGTCTGTCACATACAGCTGTCATATACAGCTGTCTGTCACATACAGCTGTCATATACAGCTGTCACATATAGCTGTCTGTCACATACAGCTGTCTGTCACATACAGCTGTCACATACAGCTGTCTGTCACATACAGCTGTCATATACAGCTGTCTGTCACATAAAGCTGTCACATACAGCTGTCTGTTACATACAGCTGTCATATACAGCTGTCTGTCACATACAGCTGTCACATACAGCTGTCTGTCACGTACAGCTGTCACATACAGTTGTCTGTCACATACAGCTGTCATATACAGCTGTCTGTCAAACCACTGTTGGATGAAGACCTCCCACATGCCATTCGAGCCGGGGGTGGGTGGATGGGTGGGGTTATATGACCATACTTCACCCTGCTGGTCAGCGCGGGGTTTGGAGGGGTGCATAGACGTGGACGCAACGGATTGTGATCAGTGTTTTGACGAGCGCAGGGACTAGCAGATGCTTCGAGCTGGGACCCCCCCCACCCCCCTTTGACAACCACCATGAGATTTGTTTTCAACAACAGTGTCTAAAGAACAACATGTAAATTTTGATTTAAAGCTTTCGTGACTGCAGTAATTCATATTCTTAGTTTTTTCGGTAAAGTCACGTTGAAGGGAAACAACAAAATAATAAAATATATATAAAACAATAAAAATTCTCACGACGTTTCGACCATAACTCCATCGGTCACCTGAAGATGACCGTTTGAGTTATGGTCGAAACGTCGTGATAATTTTTTATTGTTTTATATATATTTTATTATTTTGTTGTTTCCCTTCAACGTGACTTTACCGAAAAAACTAAGAATAACAACATGTATCTAAAACGCGGATTAAATGTATCTTTCATGAAAATTATTTCATTGAATTCAAATCAAACATTTGGGCGCCACACCCGACCGATTGCCGCACCCCCCTGAGCTGACACGTGGTCACTGATTGTCCTGAACTGATAGCGTGGTCACGTGGTCACTGATTGTTCTGATAGCGTGGTCACGTGGTCACTGATTGTTCTGAGCTGATAGCGTGGTCACGTGGCCACTGATTGTTCTGAGCTGATAGCGTGGTCACGCCGTCACTGACTGTCCTGAACTGATAGCGTGGTCACGTGGTCACTGATTGTTCTGAGCTGATAGCATGGTCACGTGGTCACTGATTGTCTGATAGCGTGGTCACGTGGTCACTGATTGTTCTGAGCTGATAGCGTGATCACGTGGTCACTGATTGTCCTGAGCTGATAGCGTGGTCACGTGGTCACTGATTGTTCTGAGCTGATAGCGTGGTCACGCCGTCACTGATTGTCCTGAACTGATAGCGTGGTCACGTGGTCACTGATTGTTCTGAACTGATAGCGTGGTCACGTGGTCACGTGGTCACTGATTGTTCTGAACTGATAGCGTGGTCACGTGGTCACTGATTGTTCTGAACTGATAGCGTGGTCACGTGGTCACTAATTGTTCTGATAGCGTGGTCACGTGGTCACTGATTGTTCTGAGCTGATAGCGTGGTCACGTGGTCACTGATTGTTCTGAGCTGATAGCGTGGTCACGTGGTCACTGATTGTTCTGATAGCGTGGTCACGTGGTCACTGATTGTTCTGAGCTGATAGCGTGGTCACGTGGTCACTGATTGTCCTGAGCTGATAGCGTGGTCACGTGGTCACTGATTGTCCTAAGCTGATAGCGTGGTCACGTGGTCACTGATTGTTCTGAGCTGATAACGTGGTCACGCCGTCACTGATTGTTCTGAACTGATAGCGTGGTCACGTGGTCACTGATTGTTCTGAGCTGATAGCGTGGTCACGCCGTCACTGATTGTTCTGAACTGATAGCGTGGTCACGTTGTCACTGATTGTCCTGAACTGATTGCGTGGTCACGTGGTCACTGATTGTTCTGAGCTGATTGCGTGGTCACGTGGTCACTGATTGTCCTGAACTGATTGCGTGGTCACGTGGTCACTGATTGTTTTGAGCTGATAGCGTGGTCACGTGGTCACTGATTGTTCTGAGCTGATAGCGTGGTCACGTGGTCACGCCGTCACTGACCATGTTAGAGAGGGAGGGGGGGGAGAGAGGGGGGGTAGAGAGAGGGGGTAGAGAGGGGGGGGTAGAGAGGGGGGGGGGGGTAGAGAGGGGGGGGTTGAGAGAGGGGGGGTAAAGAGAGATAGGGGGGTAGAGAGAGGGGGGGGGGTTGAGAGAGAGGGGGGGGGGGTTGAGAGAGAGGGGGGGGGGGTTGAGAGAGAGGGGGGGGGGTTGAGAGAGAGGGGGGGGATAGAGAGGGGGGGTAGAGAGAGGGGGGTAGAGAGGGGGGGGGTAGAGAGAGGGGGGTAGAGAGAGGGGGGGTAGAGAGAGAGGGGGGGTAGAGAGAGAGGGGGGTAGAGAGAGAGGGGGGGTAGAGAGAGAGGGGGGGTAGAGAGAGAGGGGGGGTAGAGAGAGAGGGGGGGTAGAAAGAGGGGGGGTAGAAAGAGGGGGGGTAGAGAGAGGGGGGGGTAGAGAGAGGGGGGGTAGAGAGGGGGGGTAGAGAGGGGGGGTAGAGAGGGGGAGTGGAGAGGGGGGGTTGAGAGAGGGGGGGTAGAGGGGGGGGGGTAGAGAGAGGGGGGGTAGGGGTAAGACGGAGGAGCAGAAGGTGCTTCTCCATGTTGATGTCTGCGTCTACTGAAGAAACTAGCACAGATTGATTTTGTTGCACAATGTTGAAAATACTAAAAAAAATATTTCATTTAAACAGGAGGGGGGTGGGGAGGGGGAGGAGAGCACATAAAGCAAAGCAATGGAGAGAAAAAAACAAACAAAAACACAACCTAAATGATGAACTTAGCAAAGTGCCGACTAAACCAAGCATCTTCTTGTTTCCTCTGATCGTAACAAAAGAGAGAGAGAGAGAGGCGAGGCTCAGTGGGAGGGAAGGGAAGGACGAGAGAGAGAGGGAGAGGGAGGGAGAGGCGGGGTTCTCGCTTGCTCTGCTTAAAGCGGAGAAAGGAAGTCGAACGTTTGAATAAAAAAATAAAGATATATATATAAAATAAAGGGAGGCAGTGGCCGTCAAAGAGAGCGAGAGAGAAGGAGCGGTCGGCAGTCGGTGGTAGTGGTGGTTGTTGAGAATTATTCCCCATCCTTGACCGGGCCATTGTGTGCGTGAAGACGACATCACAACAACAACATCATCAGCATCATCATCAGCATCACAACCTTCCTGGTGTGACTCCCTAACCGCATGGGTTTGCAACTAATACACTCATAAGCACGGTAAGGTCGTTGGATTTCTCGCCTTTACACACACTGGTTGTGGTTTTTTTTGTTGTTAAACGATTGTAGGTGGGTTAATGATACGGTGCTTTTTTGCGTAGCTTCAATAGATTTGTAACTTTATTTGAGTTGTTGCAGAGTTTTGCGTGTGCGTGTGATTTATTTTGGACTCGGGGTCACGTTTGGTTTATAAGTGTGTGGTTGGACAAAGGCGAGCTTATACAAGAACCGCTATGTGTGTGTGTTGTGTGTTAGCGCAGAATACAAGTCCTGCTTTGTGTACACAACACAGTCCTTGTAGAAGACGGATCACACACGCACATATACACACACATATACAGAGACAGACACACATATATACAGACACATACACAGACACATACACAGCACACACACATACACAGACACACACAGACACACATACACACAGACACACATGTATACACACACATACAGAGACAGACACACATATATATACAGACACACATACACACACGCAGACACACAGACACATACACAGATACACAGAGACACAGACACACATATATACACACAGACACATACACAGACACACACACACATAGCTGACACACACATAGCTGACACAAAGATAAAAAAGATCCCCCGTATAGCCTTAACAGACTGTAGGGGCAAGTGCTGTTAGCGAACATACACAGACACACACACAGACACACACACAGACACACATACAGACACACATACACATACACACAGACACATACACAGACACACATACACAGACACACAGACACACACACAGACACATACACAGACAGACACATACACATAGCTGACACACACATAGCTGACACATACACAGACACACACACATAGCTGACACACACACATAACTGACACACACATAGCTGACACACACACATAGCTGACACATACACAGACACACACACATAGCTGACACACACACATAGCTGACACATACACAGACACACACACATAGCTGACACTCACACATAGCTGACACACACACATACACAGACACACACACATAGTTGACACTCACACATAGCTGACACACACACATAGCTGACACATACACAGACACACACACATAGCTGACACAGACACATACACAGACACACACATAGCTGACACATACACAGACACATACACAGACGCACACACATAGCTGACACATACACAGACACATACACAGACACACACACATAGCTGGCACATACACAGACACATACACAGACACACACACATAGCTGGCACATACACAGACACACACACATACACAGACGCACACACATAGCTGACACATACACAGACACATACACAGACACACACACAGAGCTGACACATACACAGACACACATACACAGACGCACACACATAGCTGACACAGACACATACACATAGCTGACACATACACAGACACACACACACATACACAGACACACACATAGCTGACACAATAGCCCAAGAAAGCGATCGATAAGGGAGACAAACAGCGGGACAGCAGACCGCTGGGTTTTGTCTGATGGACATCATCAGCAGCACCGCTGTTGATTAATACAACAACAATAACCCATAGCTAACACAATACTGTATATACTTAATGGTGATGTAAACCCGTGGCCGCAAGTAATAATGTCTGATGCATAGCTGATAGACACATACATAGCTGATAGACACACACATAGCTTATAGATATACATAGCTGATAAGACACACACATAGCTGATAAGACACACACATAGCTGATAAGACACACACATAGCTGATAGACACACACATAGCTGGTAGACACATACATAGCTGATAAGACACACACATAGCACGGTACAGTGGCTTGTACACATTGCATAGCTAACGCAGAATACGAAATGTGATGTAGATTCATAGCTGACAAAGCCAGGCGAGCTGTTGGTGATTTATAGACGAGAGAGAAAGACAAATGGCTGTGTTAACAGCATTGTGGCTTACGTATAATAAAATAAAACCACACGCACAGTTAAAATTATTCGTGTGGACACGAAAAGTCACAATGCTGGTAGCCACAGGGACAATCAGCTGATGTGTGTAAGCTGTAGTGTTGCTTGTTACAGTACACAACACAGATTAATGTACTACTCTGTGATGTGGAAAGCACAGATTAGGAATAATCGATTTTTTTTATATTGGCATAGCCACATAAATGTTAATACTGTGTAGGAACCTCCTGGTTACTACACCACCAGCCCACAGGGGATTATTGTGTCCGTCCGTCCGTCGTGCATCCAAAAATGGGAGGGGTGGGGCTGGGTGGGGCTGGGTGGGGAGGGTGGGGAGGGTGGGACTTGGTGGGGAGGGTGGGGCTGGGTGGGGGGTGGGAGGGGTGGGGCTGGGTGGGGAGGGGAGGGTGGAGAGGGGCTGGGTGGGGAGGTTGGGGCTGGGTGGGGGGTGGGAGGGGTGGGGCTGGGTGGGGAGGGTGGGTAGGGGCTGGATGAGGAGGGTGGGGCTGGGTGGGGAGGGTGGGGAGGGGCTGGGTGGGGGGTAGGTGGGGAGGGGCTGGTCACCCCGTGGTGCCCTTATAAAACTCAACGTTTAACCTACTCACGCCGGCTTGTGCTCGCCCTCACAGTCGGGCATATTTGCGGAATACACCACGTGGTGCCGTTGACCCTGGCCATTGCCCGAGCAAATCAACGTTCCTACCAGCTCCCTCCGCAGGAGAATGTGTTTATTCAATGCAGCTGGTATGACATAAAATGTACTGTGCATACTGCACCGTATAGTTCTGCAGGCATAGGTGATTAGACGTTGCAGTATATACTGGACATCTGTGTACAAAGAGCTTCATAGCTCATCGGATTTCCCCCGACCGTAGCTGGTACAGCTATGCACAGCATTTGATTATTATTATGGGTACGTTGCCGATCGTGTCGACATCGCCGATAGATGTTCTACATAGACGTGAATAGGAATAGAGAGACAGCTGATTTGGGATACCCACAACAGCTGATCAGGATAACCCGTTGAAGCCAGCACGTCCAGGAAACTACTGCAGCTGATGGACGCAGCTACTACGAGAAACAAAGTGTTAGACACTGATAAGCTCGTGTACTACTTCATGGCATAACATGCTACAGCTGATCACGAGATGCGACGGACAAGCAAGCGCTCGCAAACTATTTGTATACCGCTGCTGATATATAAAGAGAGGGCTAAAAGACAGTGCAATGTTGAGACACTGATACCAAGGCCGTAATTATAAAACACCCCCCCCCCCCCCCATATTCAAATATGCTCAAAATGTCCCCTCCCCCAACATATTGCTATAAAAATATAAAAAAAAGTTATAATAATTGCTACGCTATGTAAATAAAAACAACAATTTGCTAAACCTTGGCCACAATATCTGGACTTGTCTTCATATAAATCAACGCTTAGATATCTGTTTATATGATTGTGGTTATGGTTGTACTTTACTCATCCTTAATCTCTGCCATTACATGCAATGAAACAAGAAACGGTAAAAAAGTTAAAACAGAGCAATGTAATACAATACCACTATTAGATATTATTGTTAAAAATAAAAGTCCATCCCATGTGTTAGTGAAATTTTAAATATTTTAGGCAGGAAATGAGTTTTCAAATGTAGATATTTTTCTGGGTTGGGACCTACCCAGACACCGCGGAAGATTTGTTCCCCCCCAATGTTGATTCCATGGCTACGGCCTTGACTGCTACAATGTTATTTCACAGCTGCCGAAGGAGACACGCTGTGTCTGCTGTGGACCAGAAAGACACACGGATCGATGCAAGCTTGTAGTAGATTCTCCCAGTAGAGACAAGATTGTTCATAATCAAGGTTTTTTTGGGGTTAGATCACGTTATTTATAAATGTGTCGCAAACCCTCCACCACCCGACACGGCCAATCATTAAAAAAAAAGTGTCACGTTGACAAAAGACAAAATAGTTCACTACTTTAGTAGTTCACTACTTTTTAGTGAACTACATTAGTAGTTAACTATTTGAAGAGTGAATCCACAACATTTACTATTTTTGAGTGTGACGTTATGGGGAGGAGACAAGGTTGGTATGTGGTTGGACCATCGACCCATGTTTGCTGGGTGGTATTGACAGACATCGCTGCTTCTATCAGAGGTTTTTTTGGGGGGTTAAATCGCGTAAAAATATAAATGTTGTGTCGTCAAAACCTGCCACCACCCGACACAGCCAACTAGTAAGGGTTGTCACCTAAACAGAACGTGCCAATTCGTCACTAGTGCAGCACCAGTGTATGGTGCAGTAGTGTATAGTGTAGTGTATAGTAGTGTATAGTTTAGTGTATAGTAGTGTATAGTGTAGTGTATAGTTTAGTGTATAGTGTAGTGTATAGTAGTGTATAGTGTAGTGTATGGTAGTGTATAGTAGTGTATAGTGTAGTGTATAGTTTAGTGTATAGTAGTGTATAGTAGTGTAATGTGGCGCTGCACTCTGATGTTGTAGGAGAAAACATTTATTAAAGTAGTCCCCCCCCACCCCCTCGTCACAAATGTCTGACCCCCCCCCCAGGTGCGTGACGTCATTTATGGACGGCCCCTAATGTACGTTAGAGATATAGTGGACTCGGCTTCACATTCGTTGGTTGACAGTGTTGGCGGCGGTGCACAAAGACAAAGGTCCCCCGTGTAGCCTTCACGAACGTTTGAGGCAAGTGCTGTTAGCAAGTAGCACCTAATAAGACCGGAACGGTGCACGAGGGGGCGGCTGGCCCTGCACCACGGCCGACCTCCAGCGGCGATGTTTATGCACCGTGAAGCACAAAAAAACACGTCTATGCGCTATGAGGAAGGGCCATAGCCCGAAACGTCGCATGTTACATATTTGTTTTCTTGCCAAGGCCACACACACGCGGGTGGCGAGAGACGTGGGGAGCATAGACGTGCGTGTACGCAGTACAACGATACAATTTTTGGCCTGCAGTGGCCGGTGGTTTTTGAACGGGCCGGTGCCTGCCACCGCAGCAGCAGCATTGTGCCTTTCTTCCCCCGGCGCGTGCGAATTTCCGCATCGCAGAGTCGTGTGGTCGTTCAAGTGGCAAGGAAGACGTCGCTACAACAACCGCCGCCGCCGCCTGTGTCATCTCCAGCGACATCATCATGGTTATCCGGGTCTTCATCGCGTCTTCCTCTGGCTCTATGGCAGTAAGAGACTCCCCCCCCCCGACCCCCCAGGTTGTTGATGTGCTTGTTGTGAAACTCCTCTCATCCGAATGACTATCCCGGATCCTCTTGTCCCGCGACGTTATCTGCAGATTTACTCCGCTTATCCGCGACAAACGCTTGTGGATAATGGGGCCGAATTTGCCACTGAAATCCGCTCATCCGTGCAAACATTTCCAGATAATAGGCACAGGGATAACACAATTGCTGACTGTGTACATGCCTACGAGATAATGAGTTTGCGTGCTTTTAGAGCATATATAGAGTATTCTGATGTTCTAATACAAGTCTATAACATCAGAGCTAATGTTTTACAGATAATTTGGCGAACGTGCTGAATTTAAATATTTACGCGATCTGACCCCCAAAAAAAAACCTCTTATGGATGATATTGGGTGCGAAAGCCTTTGTGTTAAACGTGCTGAATTTACTCCCCAATATGGATGTTGCTTCCATGAACTGAGCCCTTTGTCAATCCACTGCTGGATTAAGCCCCCCCCCCCCCCCCCCCCCGCATGCCCTGTCAGTCGTGGGGGTTGCTTGACCATACTTCACCACGCTGGTCAGCGTGTGTTGGTCACGTAATAGGCCCAAGTCTGGCTTGTGTATCACTCGCCAGAAATGTCAGCTGTGGCTGGGAATCGAACTCGGGCCACCTGTTTTATAAGTGAGTGTGCCAACCCCCATGCAACCACTCATCCCCCTGTGAATGTACATTGTGGTTCTTTACGGTATTTAATCGCACGCACATTCCTGCTCTCTTCTAGTGGTATGCCGATTAGCGCACGGTTGGCTACGTACGGTGCGAAAGAAGTTCAAAATAAACACACACATACAGATATTAGCCGATTTGCAATGTCAATTCCGGCTCCCGGCTTTCAAATGCATGTTCTCATTGACAAAGCTTCAAACGTTGTATCGCGCAGTCAGTGCAACAAGTATATCCACGAATAAAACACACATACAATACAGCAGTTTAAGTTACCGTTTATAGGGCTCATTCACCAACTCTGTTTTTACACTCTTTCATTTAACTCACTCTGTCTGCTGTTGTTGTATCCTCAAATCTTGCAACTCAATTTTTACCCACTTCCCAATGTGGTATCGACTGCACACTTGGTATACTTGTGTCATACTGATGACAATACTATATTCTCTCATTAAAAAGAAAAAAAAATATTTTAAAACATGATTTTGTATATGTTATGTTTCGGCTTGGGTCTAATTGTCCACGCTCAGCTGACGTTGGCTGTAAATCACCACGGTCCCCTTACGTTGTGGCAAGCTTCGGGGCCACTTCCTGGAGTCGTGGAGTTTTTGCCATTACGAGTACGGTACATTTCATTAAAGCGTGTTTTTTTTTAAAGTATTTTTAAATATTACTTATTACATTGGTGCGATGGGCGCCACAGTTATAGACCGTTGCGCCGTTTGGCCACGTCATGCCAAGAGTCATTAACATGCAGATTCCCAGAATGAATGAATGGGTTGTAATTACTGTCCGTGGTCTACACAACCCCACCCCCACCAATTCATTAAGGCCATCAATTGCATCAACGCCATCATCGGCACCCAACAGTGAATGGCGTTGTACGCTCATGTGAGAGACGCATAGAACACCTGTGCTGTGTAGGGACTACAGCCTCTCATGGACGCATAGACTCATAGAGGTAGACTTGGCTCAAGACTTTACTCTTTTCCTCTGCCTATTACAACTGTTTCTATATATTTATTGGGGGGGGGGGGGGGGGGTGACCATACTTCACCACGCTGGTCAAGGACGAAGGCAGGCCCGAGACCAGTTCAGATTTATCACTCGCTGGCCTGGAATCGAACTCAGGTGGGCAGGTTCATAGGGCAGTGCGCTGACCGCAGCGCCAACGCCACACCCATCGCTCCTTCCCCGGCACCTCCGATTAGCGCGGTTGGCGTGGTTGGCTATGTATGGTGCGAAAGAAGTTCAACATGCATGCAAACTCTGAATGTGGGTGCGTCTATGTTAGCTATAATGTGTGTGCAAATGTATTGTAACCATGTGCATACATGCATCTCTGTCACATGTCACTGTAACATCCTGTGAGAACAACGCGTGGTTTATCTGCGTGCGTTTTTCCCCTTTGTCAGGAAGATTCTGATTTTTTTTTTTTAAAAAGGGGGAACATTTAGGCACAGCTGTTTCCGTAATACATGTGCAGCTCATTGTCGGTCCACTGCTGGATGAAGGCCTGCCCATTCCATACGGGCCGTAGGGGTTATTTGACCGTACTTCGCCACGCTGGTCAGTGCAGGCCGGTTGATGGCGGGGCGTGTAGATGTAGGAGCATAGAAGTACGGTACAATGGATGTTGCTGTACTGCCCTATGCTGTCCACCACATGGCCCTGCAGCAGTGTATCAACAGCCTTCTGTGCAGGGTGGTTAGCCATCAAAGCGATATCCAGGCTTAACTCTGCTGAGCTTCTTATATCTGATATTGGTCACTTTCTGGATAATTTGTTTATGACCCAGCCATTATAATTTCTTTAATACTGTATTGTAAACAGTTATGGTTATACGCCTTGGGATTTTATTGGTACTCGAATGTGTAAATAAACAGCAGCTCTTTTTCAGTTTCGACCTGGCTGTCACAAATGTCACCGCAAGGAAGTATGGGCTTATTGCGCGGACATTATAGCAGCCAAATACTCTAACCGCACGTTGATTCTAAAAGTGGAGGGAAAAACCGGAGGACCCGGAGAGAAAAAAAATCCACACGACCACAGCAAGAGAGAGAGAGACACGCAAACTCCAAATATACAGCAGCGGGCATCAGGGTCGTGATCGAACCCACGACCTCCTGTATACCAGGCGAGGTAGTTAACATCTCTTCTGCTTCGTATGGCCGATGTTGGTGTCGAGCAACAACTGTGATTTTACTTTGAGGTGGTTGAGCCAGATGATTGCGTCAGGCGTAACGGAGCGGTCCATCGCAGCTGTGACGAGGCCTCCTTCACGTTTGTGAATTTGGGCATTGAGTCGGGAGCGGCGGCGCAGCGGTGAGCACGCCGCGCTACGGGCCCAGCGACCTGAGTTCGAGTCCCACTCACGGCCGCTAACAGCAGTGACGATTATCTGAACCGGTCCTGTACCTCCTCTAGGTCGCCTCTGCTTCAAGTGAGTACCCGGTGCGATGTGTAAATGTCACAACTTGGGGAGACAAAGGCGGCCGGGTGTGGTGCTGGCCTCCCACCGCCTCGTGTGCCGTGTCGGCCTTCGTAGGTGCTCGCTCGCAGCACTCGCCCCAACGGTCTGTTGAGGCGATACGGGGGACCGTCACCTTTGAGCCATTACGTGTTCCATGGTGTGTTTTGGGCGACCACAGTTGCACAGGGTGCATATTCGGCGCGCCTCCGCGCGCACACGGAAGGCCCTAAGACGCCCAAAGCTTCGGCAACATTTTGCGGCTAAAACAACACAAGTTTGCGCAGGCATTTGGCTGTCGAGCCAGTGAGACATCGCGTCCTTTTGTGCGGCAAAAGACGAACGTTCAAAAGTAGTTCCGCGCAGATGCCCGAGCAGAGGGAGGGAGGGAGCGAGCGAGGGAGGGAGGGAGCGAGGGAGGGAGGGAGCGAGCGAGGGAGGGAGGGAGGGAGCGAGGGAGGGAGCGAGGGAGGGAGGGAGCGAGCGAGGGAGCGAGCGCGGCAGAGAGAAGAGTGTACGTACTTGTGTTTGCTGGGAGCCATGTGTTTCTAATTTCATTGCCATGGGAATAAGAAGGCAACCGTGCATTCTCAGCATTTCGGCACAGCAACCGTGTCCCAGCCCTGCGCACACTGGCCCGCGTAAAGATTTATTCTAGATATTATTTCATTCCATAACAAGTGTTTCTAAGCGATGGCAGTTTGCACGCGCGCGAATAAAGATGTAACGGTTTGTCGATTTGAATCGATGAATCGGCCAAACATTGAAATCGACTACTGTTCTGTGGTCGATTACTCGGGGGCCCCCCTTAAAAAATGGTGGGAGCTCCCCACGCCTACCCCCCCCCTCCCCACCACGACCACCCACAAAAAGCAATTCTAAAGAAATTAGTTTGTCAATCTAGATGATGAGCATGGTTTGGCATGAGGCCGTGCAAGGAGTTAAATGGGGGGCCCCCTGTCCAAATGTGTCAGGCCACGGTGCCAGGCCCCCTCCGACCCATGTTTGGCCCGGTGCAATTCCACCGCCTGCACACTAGAGAGCTACACCCCCCACCCCCCACTGCTGTTCGGTGGTGGAATCTTGCACGAGCAGCCAGGGATGGCCAAACATTCCAATGTAGGAACTGGCCAAACATGCCATTGGCTGAAAAATGTCCGCAGACCCTTTCCTGCGTAAAACAAATCGCATTGCACTGTGGTGTGATTGTAAATCAATTATAGCGTCTTTCCATCAGTTTATTTGGGGTCAACTATACTGTACTTCTCTCAATCCACTGCTGCATGAAGGTCTTAAAATGATCATCTTATTAGCATCATTTTTCAAGCTCCTCGCCACCACTACCATCATCATCGGCCGCGATTTATCCACTGCAGTGCAGCAATCCGTCTTGACTCCCTGCTGCACGCCAGCTGACTTCATCACCCCCGTCTCTGTGGTGTGCGTCCTCGCGGGCGCCATGCGCTTCTTTGCCCGCCACTGCCGTGAGGTCTCGGATGACCGGCAGTCGTCGCTTCCAGCGACGTCTTCTGCCCAATCCCGATCCCACTTCTTGACCCTTTCCCCATTCCGAGGCATCTGCAAGTTGGAGAGGGGGTGTGTCCCGTTCGCCGCTGAATCTCGGAACGCGCGAGCGGCTCGGAGTTAATTTTATTTGGAAGGGCGCAGTAGCGCGCGCTGTTTCTAAAGAAGTTTTACTCGCTGCAGAGAACCGTAGGTGACACCACCGCACTCTACCAAACTTTGCTACACGCCCTCCCGCGTGGCCTTGTGGGAGCCTCGGTACCGATAAAGTTACTTTAG